GTGCTGTTGGTGGCTTTAGTGTTAAGATATTACAGCCTTCAGACTACTTATGTCAATATAATCATCGTGCTGTAGGTGGCGTTAGTGTTAAGACATTACAGCCTTCAGTCTGCTTATGTCAATATAATCACCATGCTGTAGGTGGCTTTAGGATTTGTTACACTGTAAATCTATACTTTATGAACTGATTCCCATCCTACTGGTTTATAATAAATACTCGTAGCCCATGAGGATATGATACAGACATTTATTAATGGTAGGAGAACCACTTCTCTGATAGTTTTATGTCTTTGGTTGACATTGTGACAGGATTAAATGCATGAAACTTGATGAAAGTATAGCTGATAAATATTGGATCTAAAACTTGAGTCTCTTGACAGCATCTTGTCAAATTGGTTAATTAAATCTCCACTGAGCCACATACAGGAAGAAATGGTTCAAACTTAATAAAGACATAAAACATCAATAAATCTTCCTCCTTCAATTTTTTATAGATCTATGTTCCCAGAAGGAGGACTCTGCCTGCAATGGATCATTTTCTTTTATTTTAACTTTTAACATTTTTCAGCAAGTTTGTATAAAACTAGTGGAGGAGTGCCACAAATCCTTAAGTTTAGACACTGACAAATGTAGCCAAAAATTAACATCTATAAATAATGCTGAAAATTGTGATGTTTTTTATTTTTATCACATGGCTAATTTGTTCACAAAGGCTATAATGTCTTACCACTAAAGCCACCTACAGCACGATGATTATATTGACATAAGCAGTCTGAGGGCTGTAATATCTTACCACTAAAGCCACCTACAGCGTGATGATTATATTGACATAAGCAGTCTGAAGGCTGTAATATCTTAACACTAAAGCCACCAACAGCATGATGATTATATTGGCATAAGCAGTCTGAGGGCTGTAATGTCTTACCACTAAAGCCACCTACTGCAAGATGATTATATTGACATAAGCAGTCTGATGGCTGTAATGTCTTAACACTAAAGCCACATACAGCATGGTGATTATATTGACATAAGCAGTCTGAAGGCTGTAATGTCTTAACACTAAAGCCACCTACAGCACGATGATTATATTGACATAAGCAGTCTGAAGGCTGTAATGTCTTAACACTAAAGCCACCTACTTTGAAACTCAGCTTGAGCACTGATCCCTTGACAACCTAAATTTTCGTTTATGCTGACAAAGGTGCAATATTCTGACTCAGCTTTAGCAGTAATTGCTTGACAACTGAAAAAGTATGGGTTCTGAAATGTTGGAACTTTTAATTGGGTTTCCAAAGAGGAAGGTTGGTTTATAGATAAATATCATTTCCAACAAACCCAGAAAGCCAGTAATAACATTGGTCAGTTTACACTAGTGTCTTAGAAAATAGCCACTGAGAAGATTTGTACATAAAGAGCTACAGATATACAGGGAACCAAAATCTTTTAAGGATAAGAATGCAGAAGAGCATGTTAGAATGGACAATGTGGTTGTTCCAAGAAAAGCACATGTATTAGCACAAAAACAATACTGTTTTCCAGTCCTACAGAAATGGCAATTTGCTCATGATAACAAAGGGCATTGTTCGACATTGGTGCTCATCTCTTCTGCCAAGAGGAGTGAAAATGTTGTTGCGTACTTAAATATAGATGATCCAAAAATGGGTAATTCTGGATTGCATGAACAGTTTAAAGGCCGAGAGACACATCTGGTGGGATTTTCCAAGTTGTGGTGTTCCACGAGATGTCTCCACCAGCACTAGTTTAAACTACATACCTCCTGGGAATCGAACTTCAAACAACAAGCGAGTTTACTAAGTGAATTAGTAGAAAACCTCTTTATTAATAATAAACACATTTGAAATATCAAACTACAAAGCTACATATAGTCACGGTACGTAACTACCGATATAAACCTACATTTTTGAGATGTGATCCCTGTTACGAAACTGACAAGCTAATATTGCTGTATTAAAATAACAATAAAATACATAGAAAACCTTAGTCTCTATTGTGTTAAATAAGAAACAATAATGAAAACCCTAAAAAAATTTAAAAGTCAATCCAAATCACGAAATGTTAAACATTTGTAGATTAGCCAAAATTCAATGAGGGATGACTTAAACTCGTATCGCCGTTGCTTGGATAAAACCATTTAATATAGGCAAACACTGCTACACCGGTTCCTAAAGCGTAAGGGATTTGTTATTCTTGAATTGGATTGAACATTTTTAAAAGATCCATTTCAAATACTTATGCTGTGAAAGCACAAAGCCTGCGATTTTTTCTTTTCTTCATATCTCTTCCGTTATTGAATTCATCACTTTGGAGCTGTGTGTACGTTATAAATGTGACAGTCAGTTCCACACAATTCTATTACACTAAGAGTCGGTGCGGGGGCTGTTGACTGTATTCTACACCTTTCTAAAAGCTATGTTACGGACAATGAAAATAAATACGGATGTAGGCAGATAAAGAAAACCTTTGATATTACTGTACTTTTAGGTGCTCAAAAAGGAAAAATTCAAAGTTGAGAAAATGCAATGATCCAAATACCTATATATATGTTCAACTAACGTGACACAATTATAGGGTGGATTTTTTGATATGAGGATCGTAAAAAACTATATCTCACCAGCTGACATTATTGGTCAACTGACTGTTTGATAACCTGAATTTTCTCTTGTGCTGCCAAAGGTGCAATATTCCAAATTCAGCTTCAGCTGCCAAGGGTGCAATATTCCGAACTCAGCTTGAGCACCGATTGCTTGAAAACCTGAATTTTCGCTTGTGCTAACAAAGGTGCAATATTCTGACTCAGCTTGCACTGATCCCTTGACAACTGGACATGTTACTTGTGCTGACAAAGGTCAATATGGTATCTATACTTTTATCATTGCAAGCTTATGAGACTTCACATTTAAGACATTAAATAACTCAGTTTAAGTCAATAATGAAACCACATATATGCACTTAAACTGTACTTTTTCTTTCACTCTGTCATATCCCAGCCATCCTGCCTGATGAGCCTTGGTATTGGACGAAAGGCTTCGTCGGCACTGGATATAACAAATAATGTAGTTTGCTTTTACTCAAACGTTTTTTATAAATACTAATATCTTAAATCTTCCAAGATTATCAATAAAACATTTAAAGGATAAAAGTTTTTCAATAATTCATTAATTTTTATCTTTGAAAATTATACTTATTTTTTTTTTGCATTTTCATATACAAAAAAAAATTCAGTTCTCGTTTTGGCTATCAGTATTCATAAATTGATATATATATATATATTGGTAAACACGATTTTCGAAAACTCGAACCTTTTATAAAATAAAACTAAATGCAGAAAGTTAACAAAAAAAAACACTAACAGTATTACCAGATAAAATATTAATACCGACAAAAAATACTATTTGTAGAATTATATCATGAGCTTTTAAATACAATGTAGATAAAGTGGAGTCAGTAAAAATTTAAAGTGTCTAGAGTGGTGAAGGTCGCTCTCAATCTTCCATACGAATTCTTCTTATGAGGTTTCTGAACCAGCTGCTGGTCTTAATTTCGTTGTCATTCACGCATCTGGAAGTAACAACTATACATAAATTTCACTTCAATTCCAAACAAAATTATTAACGTGTCTAACTACGAGAGAAAACGCACACAAAACAGTGACGTAGGAAGCGGAGGGGAACCCCCTCACACACACACACACAGTAAAAATGCATCAAAATTAGGAAAATTACTCTCAGAACCTAAGACGAATTCTGGACACCGGCTATTATGGGAGCGTCTATGGCTCGGTCAAATAAACTATGTCCTTCCCCCCTACACTTCTAATTAGCCCTCCCTACAATTCTGCAGAAATAAAAAAAAAACTATAAAAAGTTTCAAGAAAGTAAAACTTGATAACTAGGAACACACTTTTAAGAAAATAAAAGTTTTTGAGACGGCTTCACCTGAGGATGACAAAATCTTGTCGAAACGTCGTACATTTATAATAAAGTTTTTTCATTACCGTCAAAACGTTTATTTCCTAGAAAGTATTTTTGGTTGATGTTAGATGGGTTTGTTTTTTTATCAGCTTAAAGTTCCACAATGGGTGATCTGTCTACCAGGAGAATTGAATCCTGGTTTTTTTTAGCAACGTAAGTCCGTAAATTTATTGGTAATCCATTGCTCGATAAAAAATAGCTAGCAGTAACAAAGTTTTATTAATATAAATGGAATTTTTTTATAGCTAGCAGTAACAAAGTTTTATTAATATTTTGACATCAGAATATTAATTGCTATTACTGTTTCAACTATTTTTTCTTTTAATTTTTTCACTTTACAGAAGTTACCTTTGTTTATTATTTTTAATTACAAGTAAACGGGGAGTAGTTTAATAATCTCTACAAATAGCGCTAAAAATCGGGTTTGACACCTGCAGTGGGAAGTGCACAATACTTCATTATGTAGCTTTGTACTTAACAATAAAACAAAATGTGAAACCTTATTAGGTTTTTGTTATCAATAACGAATGTATCTAACGTTAGAAGTCTAGATACAATTGAAAATAACATTTATTTACGACGTCTAGTAATTGGCACAAAGCCTGTCATGGTGATTGGGGGCGCTCGACTCGGAATCTGCTGGTCGCGTGTTCGAGTCACCGAACATGCTCGCCATTTGAGTAAAAGTGGGAAAATGTATTATTTACTTGGAAGTTTTCGCGCCTGCTGGTTTCCCTACGAAAGAAGAGCGCTTGTTGGAGCCTTTTTGGTCAAAGTAAGAAGTATACTGTTAGAGTAGTGGATTCGGAAACCTGAAAAGTAGTCAGAACTTGCAGATAAAGCAGTTTCTTTTCTAATGCAATTTGCTAATTACACACCTGTTTGAGACGGGATTTTCTTTAATTGCACCTCTGAACTCCAAATACAGAAAAGCGGAATGAATGCAGAACTTTGTTTGGATTTTCATTCTTTTTTTTAACACTTATGCTCCAGGGCGTCGTCTATCGGCAAGTCAAAGCATTAACATGAAAATCAAGGATTACGGCATGCGGGAAATGAAATTAAAAGAAGGGTGACGACAAGGAACGTAGTTTTCGGCATGCAGATAAACAAAACGAAATAAACTCACACAAAGAAGAACGAAAATTGAAAGGATTACAAGTGAACAATTGCACCTTTTGAGCCCCCTAGTTCCACCCTTGCAATGACTAAGAGCTATACTTACTTGCAGCGTTTCAGATCATAATAGAATCCTGTTGAGCACATGCGGCGGCTTAACATGGAGCAACGACACTGGCATGATTCACTATCCCAAAACTTCCCCTTTGACGAGCAGCGTTTCATCTTGGAATCATCTCGGCAAATACATCGACAATCGTCCTTAACAAATTTCTTTAAAAATATATATATACTAAATGAGTAAGAAAACAATAATTAGTGTCGATTCGTTGATGATCTGTATGGAGTCTTGAGGTGGGCGACGTTTCGGTTTATATTATTAGGTTGTTATCATACAAACCGAAACGTCATACACTACAGGGCTTCAGGTAAATGCAGTCTATGAAAGCTCAAACGAGAAAGGCATCGCAAAAAATTTCTTCACAGGAGTATCTGACAGGGCCGCGTTATGACAGGTGGTTAGGACGCTCGACTCGCAATCGTTGTGGGGGTGTTATAATGTGATAATAAATCACACTATTCGTTGGTAAAAGAGTAACCTAGGAGTTGGTGATGGGTGGTAATAACTAGTTGCCTTCCCTCTAGTCTTTCACTGCTAAATTAAGGACGGCTAGCACAGATAGCCCTCACGTAGCTTTGGGCAAAAGTCAAAACAAACCAAACCGCGTTATGATTTCTTCTCATTCTTGTTCACTCATCAGAACAGCGTTTCTCAAGCTAACGTTCCGACTCAAAAGGGGGTCACAGAGCTATTATAGGGGGTTATGAGATCATAAAACATATTAGGATAACAGATATCTGAAAGTATGTACAGCACTTTGCTGACATTTTGTATGGGAAGGGGTCGACACAGCCTGAAATATTTTCAAAGGGAAGCCCAGCAAAAAACGGTTGAGTGCCCCTACATAAGAATAATACAAGTGCAATATTTTTAGGACAATATTATAAATACTCAATTAACAATATATATATATGTCATATAAATGCTAAACTCGTAAGTATATAAGGATGCAACAGATTGTAGGTTATTTCAAAATTAACAATTTAGGCTAATTCTTTCTAAATTTATATAACATTCATTAGATAATATATATTGTACATTCTAATGTTTTACATTTAATAATATTGTGATGTCAATGATTTTGTTTGTTAAGCACAAAGCTACATAATGGGCTTTCTGTGCTCTGCCCACCACGAGTATCGAAACCCGGTTTCTAGCGTTGTAAGTCCGTAGGTATACCACTGGAGGAAATGTCAAAGGTATTAAAAGCATTTTAAATATTAAATATTCTTAATTATATATAAACATATACAGCACTAAAAGTGTTTTTTTCTGGGGGGGTTAAATAAATATTATTATTATTAAAGGCAATTATAACGCATTTCCGTCGGGGATGTCTCTGTGTGGTACTGGTCAGTACAATGTATTTTATACTCCTTTAGTCAATATGTAAATTTTTCGAAATTTTTGTATTTTCTCATAGTTCTGTTTAGACACAGAAAGTCTCTCAAGTAAATACATCAAACTTATTCCGATTCTACCTCTGTCTAGAACCTGGTACACTAATTGACAATTAACTGTGTTTTCTTGCAGGAAAGATAGCTTGTGATATCCCAAAAGAGACTGTCATTTCTGTCAATGAATTGGATAACAGTCTAGAGTTTCTCCACTCTTGTACTTGAGTACTAATATACGAAGGTCACGCGATGTATGGTATTGTACTTTATTTTTAGAATTAAAGGCCAAATTATCTACTACTAGAGAGGTTTTGTTGAGATTTTAAGAACTTTTTGACTTGAACTTTGTTTTCCTTTAAGATTTTGCTGTAACTCACTGTGCAAGACCTTGACTTGTTTTGTATTCGAGCTATGGGTTTATTTTAATTTTATAACTTTGTGTTAGTTTAACATGCAGGAAAGCACACAATGGACTGATGAGAGAGAGCTCATTAAGATTTCACTTCTCTCTCTCTTACCAGTCCAGTATTGTCATAACACACTTGTCGTTGTTTTGTTGTAGTTGTGATATAGTTATGTGTTATTAACGAGCTTTGCTATGCGCCTTCCATGTTTAATTTTTTTGCTCACGATGAATTCTGTAAGAGTTTAAATAGATAGTCACACGCGCACACTAAAATTGAATTTCCTTCGAACCTCCAGTTAATGTGGAAAATATCTGTATTAGGAAATGCCATACCCGTAAGGGAATTTTGTGGTACCTTTCTCGTCAGAGATACGCAAAAGCATGTAAGGGACATTTTGTAATATCTTTCTCATCCAAACTGCATGGAAGCACTAAATCTGAAGATACTTTAAAATAAATCTACAATTATCTTGATAATAACGAAGTCCAGTTTATCAAAGACTTTCAAACATTAAAAATATCGAACGACATAAAAAAAAAATAAGCTCCGTGCGGAAATATAACACATCTCAGTCAATGTTACATTCTTTTTCACACAAGTGTTCCATATAGAGGGCAGCAGCATACATACCGCCATAGCATATCTACGAGGTCCGAGAATTAGGAGGGCCGTAAATTTATTCCATTAAAGACGTAAGATGGTCAAATGCACGCCTGATTTCAGTTTTGAAAATTTAAGTAAATAAATAATTATAACCTTATTTCCACAATCTCTAATTCAAAACAAAACAAGAAAAAACTGGCACTTCATATTTCGTTCATTTCAATAACAATCGTCAAGTGTGCGCTTTAGATTTTTTTAAATAATTTGTCCATCCTACAGCGTGGGTTTATTTATATTTATTTTTAAAGTTATCATCCCATAAGCATATGATCAATCGTCCATATCTCGATTTTTCGCGTGGCCTAAATATTTCGATAAAACACGAAGAACAAATACACTCTAGCGTGGCTATTCCAACAAAATATTTTGATTCAAATAAACGAAGGCCTGAAGTTTTCCACTAGATTTTATTAATATGATAACAATTTTGTCTTTCATCAGTTTCAATAGAAAAGCTACAAAACGGGGATCTTTTTCATTATGTAACTAGTAGTAGTACAGAAAATTTTACTCACTTGTTGTCTATTACAGCTACTCGGCTTTAAAGTACACTCGCATCTACAGCGAATGTGTTTTTCTACGTCGGCCATACCACAATGTTGATCAAATATCCCACTATCGGCATTAAGTTTAAGTTCAATTACCTGTCAAAAAATACACATTTTTTTTTCAGTCACGACTTAAATTCAAGAACTATAAACAGTACATTAAAATCTGTAAAATAACTTAGATGTTTCGGCTACAGATACATATAATCATTAGGTTTGTATTACATTATCAATAAAACAAATGGCCCTATGTGGGCTATTAGTTCTTAGTTTAAGAGTGATAGACTAGATGGAAGGTAACTAGTCAACGCCATCGATCACCAGCTCTTGGACTACTCTTTACTAACAAATAGTGCGATTGGCCGGCACTTTATAATGCCCTCACGGTTGAAAGGGCGCAATATTCAGTGATGTGTTTCGATCCCGTGACCCGCAGATTGCGACCCGAGCACCCTAACCACAACAGATTATTTTGTGATTCTCGTCCTGATGCCACAAAAACACGTTCCGCAGATTAGGCCTAACTTGCATAACTAAGTCCAAAACATAGCATATTAAAATTAACTTTCGTACTAAGTTTGTTTTTTGTTGTTGTTGTTTTTACTATCTCATATGTTTATATTATTCCGATCATTATTTATTTATTCATTTTGTGTTATTTACTATTATTTTAGTGGCCCCTAAACAACTACACACTGTTAAGTTGAAAAAGACACGCTTTCGATTATTTTTTTTCGAATAATTTTGGAATTATTGATTTTATTCGAAGCATATAAGTAAAAGATGAATACATATTGTATAATACACTTTGAAAAGTTTTTTGTTTTGTTTTTTGTGTACAAAACTTGAAGATAGCTTTTATATGCGGAAACATCTGTTAGCTGAGTTCTTGCACAGATCTTAAAATATAACATTGATAAACGGAAACATCGGCACATGTAGATATGGTAACGTTTCAACAAAATTTGAAAAACAATTGAAAACGGCCATTACTAAATGTTTTCCTGCAGTGAACCCCTACTGTGCTTATTCCACACGTAAGCTGTTGCCTGCAACACACAAAGATGCGATACCTACCACACAGAAAAGTATGGTTATTTATGAATTCTCGTGCCACTGCGAATGTCGGTACGTGGGTCGCACTTCACAAAGGCTGCTGGATAGAATTAAACAACATGTACCCACATCCATAAGAACTAAGAGTGTGAAAGAAAAGACTTTACTATGTCGCTCCTGTAAAACAAAAGTTCTACCACCAAAATGTGAATCAGC